TGAAAATGTAGAAGAGAGGACTGAGTCTAAATATATTTTGGATGTAGAGTTTATAGCATTTCTGATGTGTTGAATGTAGTGTGTGACAAAAAATAATTAAATATTGTTTATATTTTTATAATATAGTGGAATTAATCCTCCCTCACCAGGCATCATTTTCAAAATTTTCTAGCTCTTCTCACATATTTATTTTGTAATAGACTATTTTTAAAGCAATTTTACATTCACACCAGAATTGTGCAGAAGTTACAGAGAATTTCTATATAGCCCCTGCTCCTACTCATGCATAAGCACTCCCATTATCAAAATCCTGCATAAGAGTGGTACATTTGTCACAATTTATGAACCTAAATTAACACATTATTATTACTCAGAATCCATAGTTTACATTAAGATTCACTCTATGTATAGTGTATGGGATTGGACAAATATATAATGACATGTATCCACCTTTATAGCATCATACAGAATAGTTTAAGAACCTCTGTGCTCTGTCTTTTCATTCCTTTTTCCCTATAGCCACTGGAAAACACTGATATTTTTATTGTCTTCATAGTTTTGCCTTTTCATTTTCCAGAATGTCATATAGTTGAAATCATACAGTATATAGCCTTTTAAATTTGGCTTCTTTCACTCAGTACTATGTACTCATTTAAAATTCCTCTATGTGTTTCATGGCTTGATATCTCATTTCTTTTTAGCTCTGAATAATATTCCACTGTATAGATGTACCTGTTTATTTATCCACTTTGTTCACTTTAAGCTTAAGATTGCTTATTTATAAACTGGTAAAAATAAGATTACTTATATAAATGAGTTGTCATAGGGCTTAGATAAAATAACATTTATAAAACATTTAACATAATTTCTGGTATATGAAAAGAGCAAAATAAACATTAGGCATTAGTATTAATAGTGCTACAGTAATAGTAGTAGTAGTAGTAACAGTAGCAGCAGTAGCAGCAGCAGGAGGAGGAGGAGGAGGAGCAAAATTTTACAGAAAATCTGGAGCTTTTTCAGGTACATGTTAAAATGAGGAAACAAATTGCTTATAAATAAGATCTAAACAGTTCAGTGTTTCACAGTTCTAACTCATGGAGGTTATATAAAGATGGATTTAAAGTTAGCTAATGAAACTTGTGATTATTTGCAAAATGAAAGCTTATATTAGATCTAAATGGACTATTTCTGAAGGTTTTACAGGTTATAAAACCTATACAATATAAATTAAATAACAGGTTATCTACTAGAATTGTTGGTAACTAGGCAAATGTTCTTGGTTTCCGTTGAGAATGTAATTTTAAAACATAACCTTCTGGTACATTTTATTTTGCATTTAGGGAGAATTATTTTACAATCTTTTTCTAATAATGTTTTAAAAATATTTATATCCAAGTGATGTTTTTATTAGAGTTTGAATATGAAAACTTATCTGCCTTAGTCTATTTGTGATACTCTTTAAAAATAGTCATGACTGGGTAATGTATAAAGAATAGAAATTGATTTCTCATGGTTCTGGGGGCTAGAAGTCCAAAATCAAGGCACTGGCAGATTTGGTTTCTGGTAAGGCCTAGTCTTCACTTCCAAGATGACACCTTTTGGTTGCAACCTCCAGATGAAGTGAACATGTGTCCTCAAAATGGAGGGAAGGATGGAAGGAGATAACCCACTACCTCAAGTGCTTTTATAAGGGCTCTGATACCATCCATGAGGGCTCTGCCCTCATGACTTAATCACCTCCTAAAGGCCCCATCTCAATATATATCACATTGGTTATTAAGTTTCATCATATGAATTTTGTGGTATACATTCATCCCATAGTACTATTTTTCATATAAAAGTGAGCAGAACTACCTATTGGTGAAAAAGTTGTATGTCAATATGAACTGCAAAACTATGTCTACTATAGTGCTCTTGTGTGTCTGTGTGTGTGTGTGTATATATATATATATATATATATATCAGTTTTACTGACAACATAAATATCAAATTACATGCGTAACCTGAGTGAGTTTTCAATTAAAATAATTCAATAACTGGTAATGAATTGCATGCATAGTCATTGCTGTATATGTTGACCTTGCTAATTGGAGCAAGGTAGAAGGGGAGTTTAAAACTGCCCTCCTGATTTTCAGTGATGTTCCTTGATTACTGCATGCAGCACTTTAATGAGCTATATATTTTTCATTGGCTTTATTAATTATAATTGATATGCCATAATATTGCAAGTATACAATTCAATGACTATTTTAATAAATTTATGCGTTGTGTTGCCATGACCACAAACCAGTTTTGGAACATTTCCATCCCTCCAAAAAGTTACCTTTTGTTCATTTATACTCATTGTTACTACATTTTCCAGACTCTGAAAACCAATCTGCTTTTTGTTTCTATAAATGTGTTTTACAGATATTTAGTATCAATAGAATCACATAAAATGTAGTATTTTG